GATATGTTGTCAGGAGGGCTCAGTCCCTGGAGAAGGATATCATGTTTGATAAAGTACCAGGTCATCGGAAAAGAGGAAGACCCTCAACAAGATGGATTGACACAGTGGCTACAACAACGGGCTCAAGCGTAACAATGATTGTGAGCATGGTGCATGACTGGGTAGTGTTTCATTCTGTGGTGCATAGGGTCGCTATAAGTTGGAGCTGACTCGATGGCACCTAACAACAACATCGTGTACATATTCAATAAAGGATTAGATGACAATAATAAAATGCAGAGCACTACATATAGTAAACTACAATATTTACTGGTTGCTTGTTTATACCACTCATGTCACCTTTTACCAATGTAAGCAAAATGCATATCTAATCTATTTCTAACCGCGACCTTTTAGGTTTATCTAATCTAAGATCATCCACATAGAGATAACTGGTATAAGTCTGTCATTATTTTAAATAAAGATTTTTAAAATTTTAAGGGAAAAAAACTGAAACTATGAAAACCTAGAATGTTTGGAAGGTAAGGAATTCCAATACATGCTTGGCTAGTGCTGTATTGAAAGCATGTCATCTGCAGTGTCATGTGTGTGTTGCCTTTGGTCACAAGACATGTGAAAACAACCTGCGGGAAAACAAAGTTATCTACCTGCCAAAATTCAGAATCAAGCCATAGATGTTTAACCAATTTGATTATGATGTGCCTTGGTGTCGTTTTCTTCATGCTCCTTGTGCCTGGAGATCACTGACATTCTTACATCTGTGGGTTTATACTTTCATCAAAGTCAGAAAATTTTCAACAATTATTTCTCCAAATATTTTGTTCTTATTCCTTATACTACTTTTGAGATTCCAATTATACATATATTAGTTCACTTAAAGTTGTCCCACAGCTCACTGATGCTCTATTTTTTAAACTAGTCTTTTATATCTTTATGTTTCATTTTGGATAATTCCTATTGCTATGTCTTCAGGTAAGCAGCTCTGGTGGTACAGTGGTTAAGCAGTCAGCTTCTAACTGAAAGGTGGATGGTTCAAACCCACCAGCTAATCCATGGGAGAAAGTGGCACTCTGCTTCCATATACATTTACAACCTTGGAAGCCCTATGGGGCACTTCTATTCTGTCCTGTAGGGTCACTATGAGTCGGAATTGACTCAGTGACAAAGAGTTGGGTTTTAGGTTTTATGTCTTCATGCTCAATACTCTTTTTATCTGAATTGTTGAATGTGATGTTAATCCCATCCAGTGTAATTTTTATCCCAGACTTTGTATTTGTTTTTTCTATAAGTTTTACTTGGTTCTTTTCTATATCTTCCATAACTACATTTTCCTCCACCTTCTTGAACATATGGAATATATCTATGCTATCAATGTTCTTATCTACTAATTCTATCACCTATGTCATTTTAGGATTTTTTTACACAAAATATAAATATAATAATATGTAATGAACTCATACAAACTTATCAGACCCCTGTAGATAGGACCAATGGACATTGATGATCCACAAAATAGGAAATATAGCTGCTTAACATGAAAAGATGTTCTATTTTGCTAGAAATCAAATGAAATGCAAACTGAAACACAATACTATTCTTCATTACCAAATTAGCAAATCTTTAGCCAGATGATAATAACCAGTACTGGCAAAATGGTGAGATGCACACACTCATCCTTGATGAAAGCAGTGGAAATTGAGGCACACATTTCTGGAAACTGATTTTTGATATGTAACGAGAGCGTCAATAGTTTTTATACTCTTAATTCAATAATCCCACCTCTGGGAATCTATCCTAAGGAAATAACTTGACATTAAGAAAAAGCTTTAAGCACAAAGATAGTCATCTATTTATAATAGTGAAAACTCAGCAACAGCACTGGAATCTAGTGCTGCTCTAACAGAAATACCACAAGTGGGTGGCTTTAACAAACGGGTATTTATTTTCTCACAGTTTAGGAGGCTAAAAGTCCAAATTCAGGGCACCAGCTCTAGAGGAAGGCTTTCTCTCTGTCAGCTCTGGGGAAAGTTCCTTGTCTCCTTTCAACAAATGTTCCTTGAAGGTCTCAGTGTGTCTTGGCATAAATCTTCCCCTGAGCCTAAGAGGATCTCAGTACAGGGATCCCAGGTCCAAAGGACGTGATCCTCTCTTGGATCTGCTTTCTTGGTGGTAGTGAGGGCTCCCATCCCTGGGCTTCAGCTCCACCCTACAGGCCCAATGGAACAACATCTCTGCTTCCTAGACTTTGGGCTGCCCCATTCTCCTAGTCCACTGAGTGGCGACCCCACTCTGTTGCCCCAGCAGTCCCCATTCTTCTGTCCCTTGAACATGGCACCCCTATCCCCTCAGTTTTGGGCATCAGATCTGGCCACATCTCCCGGCACTTGTGAATAGCAGCCCCACACTCCAGAACCAAGTTGGTGAAGATCTGACTCTTTGAAACATAGGAAGCTGTGGCCCCACCCTTTGGAACTCAGCAGGCCATGTGTCATGGATTGAATTGTGTCCCCCCAAAATATCTGTCAACTTTGCTAGGCCATGATTCCCAGTATTGTGTGAATTGTCCACCATTTTGTCATCTGATGTGATTTTCCTATGTATTGCAAATCCTATCTCTGTGAAGTGATGAGATGGGATTATCAGTAGTTATGGTAATGAGGCAAAATTAAATCTACAAGATTAGATTGCGTCTTAAACCAAACTCTTTTGAGATATAAAAGACAGAAGTGAGCAGAGAGACAGGGGGACCTCATACCACCAAGAAAGTAGTGCCAGAAGCAAAGTGTGTCCTTTGGACCCGAGGTCCCTGTGCTGAGCAGCTTCTAGACCAGGGAAAGATTGATGACAAGGACCTTCCTCCAGAGTGGACAGAGAGAGAAAGCCTCCCTCTGGAGCTGGTGCCCTGAATTTGGACATCTAGCGTACTAGACAGTCACTTGTGGTATTTCTCTTATAGCAGCACTAGATAACTAAGACACAGAAGTTGTGACCCTACCCTTTGAGACCAAGGCAGCTCTGCTTCCTGTGCTCCATGACTCTTCAGCTTCTGCTTCCTGGTTCCTTGACCTCTCAGCCCCTCAGCCCCTCAGGCCTCTTTAGGCTGTCCCGACCTCTGCCCTGCTCAGGCAAGTGTTGCAAAGCTCTTTAACTCTACTAATAAATGCCCAGAGGCACCCCACTCCACTAGTAAGCCTCAGATGGAAGGCGCTCAGCTCTCTTGCCGCGTGGGTCAGCAAGCCTAGCTCCACCAGTAAGTACCCAGAGACACCTCACTCCGCCAGCAAGCCTCCTGCCTGAAGGCACTCAGCTCTCTCCCTCTCTGGGTCAGCTCGTGCTCCATCTCACACTGGTCTCTTGATTCTGTTGCCACCATTTCTCTGCTGCTGCTTCTCACTTTCTGTGCCATCTCCAGTGTTACAGCTCTCCTCACTCCCTGCTGAGCCCTCAGCAAAATTGCCTTTGATGTCCATAATTTCATCAATAGTCTCTTCAAGGCAATCTAGGCTTTTATTATTAGGAAACTGTCATGGATTGAATTATGTCCCCCAAAAAATGTGTGTATCAATTTGGCTGGGCCATGATTCCTGTATTGTGTGATTTTCCTATATGTTGTAAATCCTGCCTCTATGATGTTAATGAGGGAGGATGGGTGGCAGTTGTGTTAGTAAGGCAGGACTCAATCCACAAGACTGGATTGTATCCTGAGGCAATCTCTTGAGATACAAAAGAGAGAAGTGAGCAGAGAGACAGGGGGACCTCATACCATCAAGAAAGCAGTGCTGGGAGCAGAGCACATCCTTTGGACCTGGAGTCCCTGCGTGGAGAAGCTCCTAGTCCTAGGAAACACTGATGAGAAGGCCAACAGAGAAAGCCTTCCCCTGGAGCTGACATCCTGAATTTGGACTTTCAGCCTACTTGACTGTGAAGAAATAAATTTCTCTTTTTTAAAGCCATCCGCTTGTGGTATTTCTGTTGTAGCAGTACTAGATGACTAAGACAGCACCTTAAAACTCTTCCAGCCTTTACTCATTCAGTTTGAAAACTGTTTCCACATTTTAGGTATCTGTTAGAGCAGCACCCTGCTCCGGGTAGCAAATTCTGTCTTAGTTATCTAGTGCTGCTATAACAGAAATATCACAGGTGGATGGCTTTAACAAACAGAAATTTATTCTCACATGGTTTAGGAGGCTAGAAGTCCAAATTCAGGTTGCCAGCTCTACAGGAAGTTTTCTGTCTCTGTCAGCTCTGTGGGAAGGTCTAGGAGTTTCTCAGAGCAGGGACCCCGGGTCTAAAAGACATGCTCCACTCCCAGTTTTTCTTTCTTGGTGGTAGTGTCTGCTCGCTTCTCTCTCCTTGTATCTATTATAAGAAAAAGATGTGACTCAAACAATGGTGGTGCTTCCCACCCTATCCTCCTTAGCATAACAGACAATTTGCTCCCAAACAGGACCATGACCACGGGCGTAGAGGATAGGATTTACAATACATAATTACGTCAGATCACAAAATGGAGGAAACCACACAATACAGGGAATGATGGCCTAGCAAGTTGACACGAATTTTGGTGGGGACTCAGTTCAATCCATGACAGGAGGTTAGACGTCTGAATTCAGGGTGTAGTCTCTAGGGGAAGGCTTTCTTTCTCTGTTGTTTCTAGAGGAAGATCCTCGTCTCTTTTAGCGTCTGCTCCTGGGTGCTGTTCATGTGGCTTGGCATGTGTCTTCCTTATCTCTGCTTCTCTTGCTTGTTTAATCTCTTTTATATCTTAAAAGAGATTGAAATTAATATACATCCTACACTAATCTTGTCTTACAATCACAGGCATAGAAGTTAGGATTTACGACTCATATTTTTGGGGGACATAATTCAATACAGAACACCATCTAGCCATTCCAAAATAAAATCAGTAACAACATGAGGGAAATGCCTGGGGTGTATTAACAGAAAATAGCTACGCTAAATTACAGAAGGTAGTATCACAGCTATGGTAGAACAATAAGTAAAATATGGAATGCTTCATGAATTTGTATTTCATCGTTGCTCAGGAGACATGCTAATCTCTGTATCATTCCAATTTTAGTATATGTTCTGACAAACAAGCACTTTGTTGGTTTTTCTTTCTTTTTTTGCCTCATTTTAAGTCATAATTCCCTGCTTCCTTTGCATATCTAAAATATCACCAAACTCATTGCTGTCTAGTCAAATCCGACTCATAGTGACCCTGTGGTCAAAGTAGAACTGCTCCATAGGGTTTCCATGGAGGGGCTGGTGGATTCACTGCCCATTTGGTTAGCAGCCGAACTCTTGACCACTGCCCCACCAGGGTTCCTTTGCATGTCTAGTATACTTAATTTTCATGCCTGACAGTGTGAATTTTACTTTGTTATGTGCACTGTGTTTTTTTTTTTTTATTTGCTTTATTTATTTTGGTATTGTTTTAAATAATTTTGAGCTTTCTTCTGGGACACAGTTTGGTCCCTTTAAGGCTTGCTTTTAGGTTTTATTAGGCAAGACCAGAGCAAATATTATATAATATTTGGTCCCATTACTGAGACAAAATTCCATTCTGAGTACTCTACTCAGTGCCCTAGGTATTACAAGTTTTCTCCTCTCTGGCTGCTGGAGACATAAACTATTCCAAATCCTGTGTGAGCTACAGAAATGGTTCTACCTCCGCCTTTCTGGTGGTTCTTTCTCTGATTTTGAGTAGTTTCCTCACATACATGCACTGAACTACTTAGTTCAAACCCCGGCATTAGCCACCTATGATAAACTACTTAATGGAGCGAATTTCCATCATTCCTTCCTTTGTAGAAATAGGATTGATGAAGGAATTTTATATTGAACTTGTTAAATGTCCCTGGTTTAATCCGGAGCATGGCAGAAGATTTACTCTAGTCCTACCTGATGATGTGAATTCCACCCCAGGACTGATTGGATGCTTCACCATCATCTGTGCTTCTGCTGACACTCATTGCTCATTCACACCATCTGAGATTGTCCCCAGTTCCTTGATCCTCACCTTCATCTGCTCGATTTCTTTTAGGTTAGGTGACCAGAGTTTTATAATAAAAGATTAAAACCATAATAGATTTAAATAGACTAATCATTTCCAAGTGTGGGGATGGTGGTAGACTGACTAATGACTCCCAAAGATATCCAGGTCCTGATTCCTGGAACATGTGAATGTTACCTTATATAGAAAAAGGAATTTTGAAGGCATAATTAAATTAAGGATCTTAAAAATGGGAACATTATCCTAGATTATCAGGGTGAGCCCTAAATGCAATCATAAGTGTCCTTATAAGAGAGAGGTAGAGGGTATTTGATACAGAAGCAGCAGGCAATGAGACCACTGGAACAAGATGCTACATTTCTGGCTTTGAAGATGTAGAAAGGGACCACCAACCAAGAAATGCAATACAGTTTTAGAAACAAGAAAAGACAAGAAAACAGAATCTCCCTTAGACCCCCCAGAGGGAGCTTGACCCTGCCAACCTCTTGATCTCATTAGAGTGAGACTAATTTTGGACTTCTGACTTCCAGAACTGTAAGAGAATAAATGTGTGCTGTTTTAAGCTACCAAGTTTGTGGTAATTTGCTACAGCAGTCATAGGAAACTAATCCAGAGGTAAAGAGGGCATGGACAGACACAGACGGAAGGAGTAGGGATGGTAGACCAAGTAAAAGCTCCAAACACACCTTTATCCCCAAAAATGCATTAACAAAACAGAAGAGATTCATATGGCTATAGGTATTTGAAACAATGCAACCAAATAGCCTGGGAATACTTAAAAAGTTACCGTCTTTGGGCATCAGTTTTGAGGAGTTCATGGATAATAAAATATAGATAGTACTCGATTGACCTAGAAATAGCAAAGGCAATGGCTATTCTCTCACCAAGGTGAACGAGTCCAGCACTCCTGTGATTAGCTCTCCCTAATCTATGCAGCTGGTATTTTCCCTTTATACTCCAAAAATATACCCTCAGTTGTTTCAAGCAGGAGTTCATTTAAAGATTTTAAAAAGAATAACTGGAAATACGTTATATGGAAGCCAGTGAATAATGGAGAGCATTGGATTCTGTTTCTCTCTGTGGCATTGCTTGAAGTAATGACTTTAGGAAGTGGATGCAGGAGGGTGTCTGTAGTCAGGTGACTTGTGTAAATGATTTGCTAGTTAATAATTCATTTTTACAAAAACAGACAACCTTTCATAGGGAAGACTGGGAACTGACTGGGAACATGTAGGTCATCCACCAAAATCTCTCCCAAATGAGCTATTATAGCACACCAGGATACTTCTACAAATAATTTTCTTAACTGTCCAGTTTGGAAGACTTGAGAATCACTGAGAGAAGTCATTGCCCATGCAGTGTTCACCCACTCTCTCTCTGAGAAGGAGGAGGTGGGATCACAACTCTCCATGAAACATACTTTTTCAGGCCAGGAGTGTGGATAGTAGTGCAAGGGTAAGGAAAAGCAGGAAAAAGAAAGGAAAGTGAAGTTTTTCTCTTTCTAAGTCAGTCAATTGACACGGGCACAGCAGAGAAAGAAAAAACTCTACAGGAAATTGTCTACTGGATTCTTACTGTTTTTTCTCTTTCCATTGGTCTTTCTCTTTCACAGCTGAATATTTAGTACTAATTCATATAGACTCCAAAGACCTTGCTCCTCCCAACCTGGCTGCTTCAACACAGCAATAATACTTAGAAATATCATCAAAAGAAAGTAGGCTGTTCATATGCTGTTGGCAGGCTTGTGAGTTAGCATTCAGGAGATGCTGAGGGAACAGTTTCTTTTTTTATATTTTTTTTATTGTGCTTTAGGTGAAGGTTTACAGAACAAATAGTTTCTCATCAAACAGTCAGTATACATATTGTTTTATGACATTGGTTAACAATGCCACGACATGTCAACACTTTTCCTTCTCGACCGTGGAGGACATTTTTTATGTGTGAAAATATGCATATAACAAAAGATACAGCGTTTCAGAAATTTCTACATGTACAATTCAGTGACATCTATTACATTCTTCTAGTTGTGCTGTTATTCTCACTATGCTTTTCCAAATTATTCTGTCACTATTATCTTCAACTCACTGGCCCCTAGGCTTCCCATCAAACCTTCTGAGTTGCTGTTATCAGTTTGATCTCACATAGATAATTCTTTTTTTTTTTTTTTGTACCTTAGATGAAGGTTTACAGAACAAATAGTTTCTCATTAAACTGTACACACATTGCCTTATGACAATGGTTAACAACCCCAGGACATGTCAACACTGTCCCTTCTTAACCTTGGATTCCCTATCACCAGCTTTCTTGTCCCCTCCTGCCTTCTAGTCCTTGTCCCTGGACTGCTGCGCCTCATAAGTCCCTTTTTTTTTTTTAATAGGGCTGTCCAATCCCCTGCTGAACAGCAAACCTCAGGAGTGACTTCACCTCTGAGCTAAAATGGTGTCCGGGAGCCGTACTCTCGAAGTTTCTCCAGTCTGTCAGGCCAGTAAATCTGATCTTTTTTTGTGTGTTAGAATTTTGTTCTACATCCTTCTTCAGCTCTTTCAGGGACCCTCTGTTGTGATCCCAGTCAGAGCAGTCAGTGGTGGTAGCCAGGCACCATCTAGCTGTAATGGACTCAGTCTGGTAGAGGCCATAGTAGCTGTGGTCCATTAGTCATTTGGACTAATCCTTTCCTTGTATCCTGTTCTCTTCATTCTTCTTTGCTCCCAAAGGGATAAGACCAGTGGGAAACTGTTTCTTTTACTCAGATTGGATCCTGACTTTGTTGTGCGGAGGCAGCCAGCTTAGGAGGAGTCAAACCCATGGGATAAATATAAGTTAGTAATGGAGGTACTGGGGATAGAACCCAGAGCCTCGTACATGCACACGCTCTACTACTGTGCTATGCCCCCTGCCTATTGGGCCCCAAAGTATCCTATACAATTGGTGCCTACTATTATCTACAGGTGTTCAGAGGTTTCAATTGGCGGTCAAAGTCTATTTGGTTCAATTCTGTTGTTTCTAATACCCTCAAGAGAAGAGGTATTGCATTCTAGGTTGAAAGACACCATTCCTGCCACTAGGATCTTTCCACAACTGTTGACACTTTCAAGGACTGCTCCAAGTGGACTTCCTGACTGGCAGTTCCAGTTTACCACCAAAGAGGGTCCCAGGACAGAAGAGTCTCTTAAATCAACTTCCTTCCTTTCTACCAAGAAACCTTCCAGAAAATACAAAAGGTAGTACCCGGAGATGCAAAGACCAGTACTGTGAAACTTGTTCAAGAAATTTAGGTCCAGGTGGGGAGATAATACTGACGTGTAATTAATTCACAATTCACCCCCGGGGACGAAAGATAGGGAGGAGGAAGTTAGAAAAGACGCATCTGCCTATATAGCACCTCTTTCAGACAGAATCTTTTCAGCAGTGAGGCAAGTACAAGGGAAGTCAGAGAAACGAATTCGCTCTTTATAAACCCTCCCTACGTCTGGACAGGTCTTCTAACCCTGTCTCTGAGGCACAAAAGTAGACATTTTTGGCTTTATACAAAATGTGTGCAACATTCAACCTAAACACATCTTTTAGAGGAAATCTTGTCATGGTCAGGGGCAGGAATATATATAATTTAAAATTTCCCCAGGTGAGTCTAAAAATCAACAAGGTTCTGTTACTAGTAGACCACAAAGTCAAATCTTTGAGAACTGGAGAGAACTGAAGAGGAGAAATGGAGAGGAGGGAGGGGATAGAGAAGGGAGAGTATTGTGATGAGAGAGTGGGGAAAGGAAGGAGGCAGGTGGGGGAAGAGAAACATCAAAAGAGGAGCAGGATGCAGGAAGGGAGACAGGAAGAGATTTGGCAATGGTGCTTGAAACACTGATAGTATTTGGATAGACGAGGATGTTTGAGATGTACCCAAGCTCCTCATCTCTCCTGTGCTTTCATCAGGTGCATGGTAAGAGAGAAGCCTCTTGTAATTCTCTGTTGAGACTTCCTAATTTTTTATTTGTTTCAATTGTGTTCACATGCTGTTGAAGCATTTTTATAATGGCCTTTTGAAATATCTTTGTCAAATAATTCTACCGTCTTCTTGGCAGAAGGTAATAGG